ATTTTAATATGTTGCATTTTACGCGAGAAAAAGAAATCAATTAACAAAATACAAGCGCTGTCTGTTGTATTAAATTTTAAAATTCTTATTTAAATTCAGGCCGTAAGTTGTCATATGAACAAGATATATGGCTGAAGGCACAGTCTATGACTTTATTTTAAAATGACTGGCCCTTATTTAATTAATTTAAACGTTACCCGTCGTGAAACACTTATTCGAACTGGCATTCGTACCACTACGATGTGTATTTTGTAACTTACAATTTAAAAATAACTGATTGCAACTCGGCCCATAGGCCGTTATGATTTGTTTAAGCCCATTGACATTAAAAAAAATTAGAATTTATATGTTCGAACTTCAAATAGGTAAGGGATGGTGGAGTGTCAGAAGAAATTATTTGACGGGCATCATATACGATTTCCTGCACTTTTTACAATTAAATTTCAATTTTTTAAATTGTTTTATATTCAGTATGTCGTCATGCATTTCTCAACTAGTTCTTTACATTTATTCCAGTGGCGTAGCGAACATAACTGGCGCCCCCTCCCCCTCCCCCTCCAGAAACATATATAGTTTGTCTGGGAGACCATTTGGGCGCCCCTCTGCGAGTGGCGCCCGGTGCATGATATACCCCCTTGCACCCCCCTCGCTACGCCACTGATTTATTCTAATTAAAACAAATTCTTTGATTTTCTTTTTGAAACCGTGTCCTGTTTTATATTTGTGGCGTAGTAAACACTAGTATTGTGTTTTATTCCAAAGACACATGGCAAATTTTCCATCAAATTCCTTTATTAGTTGAGTCGAAAACAAATTCATTGCATTTATTTAAAAATCATTATTTGAAGTGTAAAACTTTGGCACGCAATGTTCTTAAAAACAATTATGCCTACTATATGGCACATGAACTCAAAGGATCGCCATCACTAATCTAGATGATCAGCAGCCAAAAATAAGCAAGCGAATAACATAATTTGTTTTATATGAAACGGACTACGTCATCGGTTTGCTTACTTATCCAGATTCTATCCTATATGCATCCTATATAATAGGCTGTGTAATTTTTTAAAAAAAATTCGTAAATTAACATAAAGTAAATACTACTTTTTTAAGTTAAATTTTACTTTTTAAATTTTACTTAAATTACAATTTTACTTTTTAAAAACCAAAACAAAAGTAATAATATGGCATCATTTTGTTCATGCGTTTTCAATGAAAATCTGAAAATAAAAATGAAATGAAATCATAAAATTTTTATTGTTTGGTTCTAGATAATATAACCCAATATATAACTGAATTTATGTTAAGTTTTCCCGAAACTGAACTAAAAGATTGGAAACCCATTTATAAAACTAATTTTAAAATTTAGAACAAACTGATTACTATAATTTTAAATAAGTTTTCAATAGTAATAATTTAGAACGGTTTGAATTCATTGTTTTATTTATTTATTGGGCTGCAATTTAAAAAAACTGTAGACCTATAAATTTCCATTGTCTGCCCTTCCTTAATCTCGAGAACAGAGTTAGATACATAAAAATCAAGACCAGATATAGAAAGCTTAGGGACAGGAGACCCCGAATATATGAACTACACGACTCCATTGCTAACGGAAAAGTATGATGTAAGCTACAGGGACAAGATACTACAGTATTAATTTGAGGCAGAGAGCATATATTTTAAATTAAATAAATTAAAAATATGATTAAAAATTGCAGCTCGGCATTGTGACGATTTACAATAAATAATTGCTCGTTAGTTATATTTTGCTTATTTATTTATTAAAATCCCAAAATTAAAATGCTTCACTGTTACACTTCGTTTTGGTTTATTATTCTATATTCATTTGCTATAATTTATATGCCTACATTTTAATTTTCCTAAATATTCAAATAAATTCGTCATGTGCTTTAATATATTGCTGATGCTTATGCTGATTTCATCGTTCATTTTTTATACAAATTATTTTTAAAAATTATATATAATTTAAAATCTATCATACTCATATTTTATAATAGTAAATCTTTATCTTTTCGATGATAAAAATTATAAATATATAAAAAAAAAATAAAAGATTTATTACTCTCCGATTTCATTAAACATTTAACGAGTAGGTTTATAAAGTTGCTAACTAGCAGATTCTATGTTAATTTTTTCTATGTTAAGGAGAATGGCTTAAAAATGTTCTTCAACGTCGTTTAAATTTCTTAATTTAAGACTTAAAGGCGCTTCTAACATTTAAAAGTTACGATCAACAATTTTTTTTCTTTAACTGATCAGAAGAACTGTATAAAAGTTTACGATTTCCTACGTTATTTTTATTTTTGCAGTGATGGATTTTGGGCCATAAACCTCCAAAGTTTATGGCCCAAAATTTACCTTTAATAAAATTATTTTATCGCAGATATTACTGTATGAAGATTAAGTGATATTCGTTAATTCGAATTTTAAATATTTATATATTCAAAGATATTCACGATTTTAAAATGAAACGGGTTGATTAGACTTAACACAAATAAAATGAGCAGCAATTTTCAAATTGTTT